GGCCGTCGGCTTGCCATTCAAGAATTTTCAGAATACAGGATGAGCATGTCCCACAGGTGTGTGACTTTTCAGTTCAGAAAATTGCTTAGAAAACTGGGAACTAAAATACTTGCCTCACTTGCTGCCTCAAATCCAGTGAGAGTGAAAATAGGGTTATTTGAGCCTTTTGGCTCATTCTTAAGAAGAGTTTATTTTCCTGGTTAAAATCCAGCACAGTTCCCACCCAGCCCAGTGTCCCTAACACCCACCCACTCAGCCTAGTGTCCCCGACGCACACCCGCCCAGTCTTAAGCAGGCATGGGCGGCAGTCACAGCTAGAATGAGCTCTCCCTTTAGTCTCAGAGTTGGGACTCCCTCTCCCCTTCCTCTCCCCCCCTCTGCTCCCACCCCCACACTTGGGACCATCACCCCATCTCTTGGTCGCTCCCATTGGACCAAAGCTGGCCTCTGACCCCTGCTGCCCTTGGGCCCCGACAGGTGAAGCAGCTGGTGCCCATCCGAGACCAGTCCCTGCAGGAGGAGCTGGCCCGCCAGCACGCCAACGAGCGCCTGCGCCGCCAGTTCGCTGCCCAGGCCAACGCCATCGGGCCCTGGATCCAGAACAAGATGGAGGTAGGGCGGTGCCTCCGAGCTTTGCCCGACGGGGGATCAGTCCCTGGGCTGGCGCTGCACCCGATTCCGGGTTGGGGGCGGGCCAGACCTGCTCACCTGGTCCCCACTGTGCTTGTCCCAGGAGATTGCCCGCAGCTCCATCCAGATCACCGGGGCCCTGGAGGACCAGATGAACCAGCTGAAGCAGTACGAGCACAACATCATCAACTACAAGAACAACATCGACAAGCTGGAGGGCGACCACCAGCTCATCCAGGAGGCCCTGGTCTTCGACAACAAGCACACCAACTACACCATGGAGGTACCTGCCACCTCCCTCTACCCCCGCCCCCGCCCCCACCCGTGCTGCCTCCCTGGCTGTGACCGGCTCACTCAGGGGTCTCACCCACGCCGGCTTATTGGTTCCTGTTGAGTCCTGCAAGTGCGGGAGGTGGAGATCTCTAAGTCTCTCCTCCACGTTTGTGAAAAGGCTTGTGACCCAGCCTGGCCAGTGTGGGTCAGTGGTTGAGCATCGACCTGGGAACCAGGAGGTCACAGTTTGATCCCTAGTCAGGGGCGTGCAGGAGGTGGCTGATAAATGACTCTCTCTCATCATTGATGTTTCTCTCTCTCTCCCTTTCCTTTCCTTTCTGAGATCAATAAAAATATATTAAAAAAAAAAAGCTGTGAGCCACAGCAGGCACCGCGCCACTGTCAGCAACAGCAGCAGCACAGCAGGAGCTCATTGCATGCTTCAGGGAGAGGACCAGACATATTCCACCAGCTGACCCATCTGAGCTCCCTGGGAGCCTGTGGGTGTCATCCGGGGCCCTCCTGTGGTCTTGTGACATGGAAAGATATTTCTAGTGACAAAGAGACTGTCCACTGTATATCTTATCTACAAATGTCGCTGTTAGAACCCTGCCCTCGCTTCCTTCTGAGCATGTGCCACTACAGAATCTTGCAGAAAGCGGGCGAGTGGAGAGAAGCAGCGTAGGGAGGTGGGAGTCAGCCCTGCTTCTCTCACGTTGGGCCGACTCTCCCGCGAGGAGGCCGGGAGGCCAGGTTGAGGCGCCAGAAGCCCCAGAACTGACGGCTCCTCTCTCCCGGCAGCACATTCGCGTGGGGTGGGAGCTGCTGCTGACGACCATCGCCAGGACCATCAACGAGGTGGAGACGCAGATCCTGACGAGGGACGCCAAGGGCATCACCCAGGAGCAGATGAACGAGTTCAGAGCCTCCTTCAACCACTTCGACCGGGTACCTCCCCCTCGAGCTCTTTGCAAGGCAATACTGGGGACATTCAGACACGTTCGAGAGAATGCCCATGCCGTTCGCTTAAGTCTTCACGCCCTAGAAGGTCACGGGCGGGGGTGGTGAATGCCAAAGGCAGACGGCCACCGTGGTGACGGGGGCTAAGCTCTGACGTTGCCCAGGCCACGACGTCTAGGATTGTGTGCTGTTCGGTGCGGTGACAGTGGACGCCTTTGTACGTGGCAGCAAAGCTAGATTTGTTATAAGCGAATGTGTGTCCTTAACAAAATGTGGTTCTAAAGACTTCAAGCCTTTTCCTCAGGAACTATTTAGGTAAAAGCACCTGATAGAAATTTAACCTGTTCTTTTGCCATATAAAACTTAATTTTCTTTTTTAATGAACAAAATCGACTCTTAAAGATGTTTTAAGGAAAATGCACCAACAAAATGGTGAGCATTTTCATCGTAAAGGCATCTAAAAAGTGAAGTGTATTTTGATTTCAATAGTATTGAGTAAAACCAATTCTCTCTAAGAAAATCTGGCATTTAGCGACGGGATTTGGGGGCGGCGGGAAAAGGAAAGATTTAAAATGACCTGGAAGTTCTGAGCCTTAAGAGAGGGGGTGCCATTGAATTGGAGGTGCCCCGGGCAGCGAGGCATCCCATTCTGGACTTCGGGGCTGAACCTAATGGTCATCTCTGACAAGATAGGGCCTGGGCGGCCACCTGGTCCATGGAGGCTGGGCTGCCCTGTGTCCTGCCCTGGCCTCCTCTCCACCGTGAGTGGCCGTGCGTGGAGCCTCACGGGGTTTGTGCTGAGGCCACGTTTGCCGCACGCAGGGCCACGCCTCGATTCCTCTCGGACCTTGAAAATAAAAACCATCGTGGCCCAGGCCTGAGAGCGGTGGTGGGCTCTGCTCAGCCATCAGTGGGTGGCCGTAGTCAGCTTCTGACTGGGTCATTTTCAGGGGCACTGGGCGCTTCCTTCCATTGCTTTCTTCAGTGTGTGGTCTTCCTTTCTTGTCTGTTGTCACCCGCCCCCCCCTCCTGCTTTCCCCTGGTTAAGAAACCATTTTGTAACATCCCTGGGTTGGCTCTGGTCTTCCTGTAAGTCAGTGGTGACCTTGACAGTCTCCTTGGCCAGCTCAGATGTCCCCTTTCTTCCTGAATTTTGTTCCTTGGGTCAAGTAGAGTTGCTCCTCTGCCTCTAATTCCCAGCGTCTGTTTGTATCTGTCGGCAGAGGAAGAATGGCCTGATGGACCACGAGGATTTCAGAGCCTGCTTGATTTCCATGGGCTACGACCTGGTAAGCAGAAGTGGAGGTTTCCCCAAGGGGATGTTTTGCTGAACTTGGGTATATATTACAGGAGGTGACTGCCCCAAAGGGATGGTGGCACTGTTGGGAATGAGTCCATTTGCATTGAATAGGATAATCTTTCTGAAGGTCGCCTGCTACCATATGAAAGCAATTTCACCGAACCAGAATCTATATTTGTATTCAGTCATTGTTCAGATATTAAGCTTTCCTGATGATTTGTAACAGCTCTATTGAGATATAACTCACTATACAATTGACCTGTTTAAAGTGTACGCTTCTGTGGCTTTTCGTATCCTGATGATTTTTAAGTGCTTTTCCCTCTAACATTTTAGAAAGTAAAAAGGTTTAGTAGCAAATCAGCTCCGAAAGCCTTGCATTTCTCTGTGGCCCCTCACTCCCCTGGGAGCCACTGATGTGGATTCTCAGCGTGAGCCGCCCCGACTCCTCTCTGACCTTGAAAAGAAAAGCCTGGAGAGCCACCTTCCAAACTGCATGCCGCTCCTCTCGGTTGTCATCTGGAAAAGGGCCAGCTCTCTCCTTGAAGTCTCTTATGTTCAGGCTGCGGGAGTGTGGGTCCCAGGGTGGAGGGAATTCAGGAGCCTCAGGCGTAAAGCCACAGCCCCTGTTACTGTCACTGGGTGGAGTGACCTTTGTTCCAAAGCCTTCAGGGGGTGCAGGATACTTAACCCTTTGCACTCCGCTGTCCACTCTCAGGGGACATCGGAATTCTAGCATATCACTCGGATGTCCCCTCTCAGGGGACATTGCAGTTTATTAGTGATTACGGGGAATTGAGTTATTTCAACGCAACTTTTTGAGACAAGCATGTTTCCCTGAAGTTTTATCTTGAAATGGCACAAGAAATTAAATCAAAATATCGTAAAATTACTAAGATATATACAAGAAATGTCAGCGGGTTTTGTGTCGGATTAAACAATAAACTACATATTCCCGATGTGGGACAAAGAAAACGGGACTGCATTGTGTGTTCTAACAGGAAAACACCTGGTGGCAGGCGTCAAACCACTTATTACTGTCAAACATGCACTAATCAGCCTGCAATGCATATTGGGGAGTGTTACAAAACTTATCATACTGTACAAAATTATAAACAATAAAATATAGGTTTTTTTGCAAATATACATTCCTCGATGTCACCCAATTCATATAAGTCCAATATCATTATAATACGTTACTTGGTTCCAAAATTATACTAAATAATACGAGGGTCTGTAAATGCACGTTTCCGCCGCAAAGTAGCGTCGAGTAGCTGGTAGCCAATGTCCAGAATGGTTCGGAGTGCAAAGGGTTAAGTGTTCACTGCTGCCCAAAGGACCTGGCGGGCGGCAGGTGAGAGCACGGACTGGCTCTGTTCATAGCTGTGTGCTCTTGAAGCCAACGTGTCCTTGCCACCTCGCCGCAGGGTGAAGCCGAGTTTGCCCGCATCATGACCCTGGTGGATCCCAACGGACAGGGCACCGTCACCTTCCAGTCCTTCATCGACTTCATGACCAGAGAGACGGCCGACACCGACACCGCGGAGCAGGTCATCGCCTCCTTCCGCATCCTGGCGTCCGATAAGGTCTGCACGGACAGAGTCCTTCTGTGTGCATTTTTCTCATAAGAACAGAAACGACATTGCAAGGGAAAATATTCCGGGAGTAGTGCATGTTGGACCACATCAGCATTGTTTTCAGAAAGCAGCAGGTAGCCCAGCTGGGGTGGCTCCGTGGTTGAGCGTCGACCCATGAACCAAGAGGTCACCAGTTCGATTCCCGGCCAGGTCACATGCCCAGATTGTGGGCTCCGCCCCCAGTAGGGGATGTGCAGGAGGCAGTCAATCAATGGTCCTCTCTCATCGATGTTTCTGTCTCTCTATCCCTCTCTCTCTCTCAAATCAATAAAAACATTAAAAAAAAAAAAAGCAGCAGGTAAACAGTGGTGGTTCGCCCAGAACAGAAAAATCAGACATTCTGCTCCTGGAATTTGTGCTTGGGCCTCAGTGAGTTTCATGCAAGGAACCAGGAGTGTGTACTTTGTAGGGTTTTTTTTTTTTTTTTTTGGTGTGTTTTACTGGTTCAGCCAATAAACTTGAGGTCACAGTATTTATCCCTCCCGCTGTGGCTGTTTGAGAAATAATGGTGGCAATGCTCCCAGTGGGAGACCCACTGCCCTGCAGGAGTGGTCTTAGGTGTAAGCTTGGTCTGCAGGCACCAGGCCCATTAGACGGCCTGCCTTTAATCTTTTTTATTATTATTTTTAAAATATATATTTGTATTGATTTCAGAGAGGAAGGGAGAGGGAGAGAGAGAGAAACATCAATGATGACAGAGAATCATTGATCGGCTGCCTCCTGCACGCCCCCTACTGGGGATCAAGACCGCAACCCGGGCATGTGCCCTTGACCGGAATTGAACCTGGGACCCTTTAGTCCACAGGCCGATGCTCTCGACACTGAGCCAAACCAGCGAGGGCTGTACCCTTTTTTAAATTGAACCAACCGTGTATCAGCATGAGCACACCTGTTGCAGGGTTTCCCCGACTGACTTGCAAACCCCTCTGTCTCTTGCAGCCATACATCCTGGCGGAGGAGTTGCGGCGCGAGCTGCCCCCGGACCAGGCGCAGTACTGCCTGGGGCGCATGCCAGCCTACAAGGGCCCGGGCGCGGTGCCTGGCGCCCTGGACTACGCGGCCTTCTCCTCCGCGCTCTACGGGGAGAGCGACCTGTGAGCCCGACGCTGGCCTGCCCACAGCAGGGAAAGACTTTGACGAGCGTGGTTAAGGGAAGGGACAGGGAGAGATTTTGCGGCTCAGTAATGGTTTATGACATAGTGTGCTTCATCAGTAGGTTTCTTTATTTCGGAATTGTTAGCTAAATGCGATGGAATATCAGGGTTTTTTGGTTTGTTTCTTTGCTCAAACAAGGCAAAATCCTTGAGTAGTATGAAATGAGGAGGATCTAGGGACAGAAGAAAAGTACAAAATGGGAAATTCCCAAATACCCAAGATTTGAGACCAGGAAGAAAAAATTGAGTAAATGTTTGATATCTTTAAAAATATTCTTAAGTAGGCTTATGTGATTATCGTGAGGGGAATATATTTGGGATATTCGTGTTTTATCTTCTCATCCAAAGATTAGCGATATTTAAGTACTATTGTTTCTTTAGTTGAATTTAATGTTGTGAAACGGAACTTCCAGGGAATGGAACCAGACGACCCAAAATATCTTTAGTACTTAAAAATTTTTAAATAGAGTTTATAGTCAGCTCTTCGTTGTTTAGGACTACGCAGTCCAGTTAGTGGATTTCAATGCCTTATTTATCGTCCAAAGTAGAGACCTCAGGAATCACAGAAGCCGGTCTGCTTGCCAGAGAGGAAGCTGTAGTCACTAGGAAAAACGAATGTGTTAGGATCACGTACTGAATCCAGGTTTCTGTGCATTTCCTAGAGCTTGTTAGCACGGGTTTGGAAGAGATGACTGTAGGTAAGCGCCTTAAGCCCTTGACTTTCTGACCTGGTCAGGAGGAGTTAGTAGGAAAGGACTCATCCTTAGCAGCAGTAGAGGTAGAGCTTGCATCACAGACCTTTACATATTTTGGGGGGATGCTTTTTGTGTAGTAGGAACGACTCGACGTTTTTTGCCAGCACTCAGCGTGCGGTCACCATTGTGATTGGTGCCGAGCCCTGGGTCTGGCTGTCTCCACACCTGAGGCCCTGCCACGGAGGACACGCCATGCTCCCAGCATCCTTTGCTCTCTTGAATGTTCATCTGTTCGAATGTTTGGGCTGCCTTATGCTATAACTCCCCCTCTGTTGTTCCATCCTGTTGACAGCTTGTAGAGAAGGCAGGAATTCTGTTTACATCTGAGTCCTTAATGATCAGGAAAGGGATTATAAACAAACAAAAAACTGTTGCCAACAGCAATGCAAGTGTTACTAGAAAAGCAGTCCTGTGCCTGTTGCCCACGGTCTGCTTTCTCAGATTTTTGGTGGATTGCCACCAACAGCTGGAAATGTGATACTTTCCATTCATACCTGTTCGGTAACTTCCTACTTTTACTGCATTGGCTCATGTAGAACCCTTAACCTTTAAACATTTCATTTGCTTCATTTTATTAAGTAGTTGGTAGGTAGCAAGTTCCTGAAATGCCCGAGTCCCTGTGTGTCATGCCAAACACTTTGGGTGATAAGTAGAGGAACTCTGACTCTTTATTTCCAGCAGGTGCTATATTCCAGCCATAAACATTAAGGAAACACTGGGAAGTCGTTCTGACTCTGAGGCTCTGAGGGGGACTTGGGGTGTTTTAGGACGCGTACAGGTAGCTCAGCTGCCTAAAATGTTCATTGCTTTACAATATTCAGGCAAGAGGATAGATGTACTATCTGCTAATAAATGAAGAAAGGAGATAAACTCTGAAAAACACTTAATAAACATGTTTATACTCTCATCTTAGAAGATATTTTTATTTCTGAAGCTGAATTATCCATTAAACTTAATTTATAAAAGAAAAAGAATCCATGCTTATCTTTTTTTCAAAGAATGGCCCGTTTCCTCGGTTAACCACAAACTTCCTCACTTAAAATTGCCATCATATTTAAAAACTCTCCTTTGGGTAACTATTTGCCAGCCATAAAGAATTAGAAACTGGCCCTCGCTGGTTTGGCTCAGTGGATAGAGCATCGGCCTGTAGACTGAAGGGTCCTGGGTTCAATTCCAGTCAAGGACACATGCCAAGTTGCAGGCTTGATCCCCAGTAGGGGGCATGCAGGAGGCAGCCAATCAATGATTCTCTGTCATCATTGATGTTTCTATCACTCTCCCTCTTGCTTCCTCTCTGAAATCAATAAAAAAAAAAAAAAGAATTAGAAACTGGCTGGTTTGGGGGGGGGGGGGTAAGGGGTAAATTTGGGAAAAGGAATTAAAGGTAACCAAATGGCCCCCTGGCAGTTTGCTCATGCCGAGTGGCAGGCTTGATCCCCAGCAGGGGGGCATGCAGAAGGCAGCCAATCAATGAGTCTCTCTCATCATTGATGTTTCTATCACTCTCCCTCTTGCTTCCTCTCTGAAATCAATAAAAAAAAAAAAAAAAGAATTAGAACCTGGCTGGTTGGGGGGGGGGGGCGGTAAGGGGTAAATTTGGGATGAGGAATTAAGGTTGATCCAATTGGCCCTGGCCAGTTTGGCTCAGTGGATAGAGGGTCGGCCTGCAGACTGAAGGGTCACAGGTTTGATTCCATTCCAGTCAAGGGCATGTACCTCAGTTTCAGGTTCAATCCCTGGCCCTGGTGGGGGCACATGCAGGAGGCAGCCAATCAATGTGTTTCTCTCACATGGATGTTTCTCTGTCTCTCCCCCTCCCTTCCACTCTCTAAAAATCAATGGGAAAAGTATCCTCGGGTGAGGATTAACAACAAAAAACCCCAGGAGTTATCTGAAGGTCTTATCTCTACACAATGGGTTTGTGTGGGATGAGCTGAGTGAGGGTGAGGGTGAAGGTGAGGGTGGGGACTGGGCCAGCCGATTATCACCAAAATAATAATCACCTACAGAGAAGAGAGGCTTTTTTGCAGTGTTCCCATCCACTACAGATGCATTTGTATTATTTCCTAGGGCTACGATAACCGAGTAGCACAAAATGGGTGGCCTCAAACAACAATGTATTGTCAGGTTTGGAAACTAGAAGTCCAAAACCAAGGTGTCAACAGGGCCTTTCTCCCTCTGACATCTACAGGGGAGAATCCTTCCCGGCTCTTCCAGCTTCTGATGTTTGCAGGCAATCCCTGGTTCCTTGGTGCGCAGGTGCATCACCCCAATCTCTGCCTCCGCTGTCACTGTACGTGGGCTCGATTATTAGTCCTAACTAGGTCATGAGTTGCTCTAAGACAGGTGGGGGTCGGGGTGGGAGGCAGTTTGTCTTTGCATTCCCATGTCCGACACACAGTAGGACTCAGTAAATGCTTTCTGTCTATAAGTGGCCGTACACGCATCTCGCCCAGCACCAGGCTATAGCGGGAGGCGCGTAGTGCCTGGCCTTCCACTCAAGCTCCAGCTCTGAGCTGCACACAGTGGGGGACCAGCCTTGTGGGACCAGCAGTGAGGGGTCAGGAGCGCGGGGTCAGCATTGCGGGGCCAGCAGCGCGGAGCCAGTGTCCGCTCCCCACACAGCCCACGCTCCAAGCCGCCACGCGGCTGCACTTCCGGGTTCGAGTGCGGAGGTGCGGGAAGCTTCGCGAGGACCGGACTACATTTCCCAGAGAACCCTGGGGCGAGCCTCAGGCGATTGGTTGAGACCGACAGCCAATGCGGCCGCGAAAAGCTCGCACAGACCAATCACAACCCCGGGGCGGGAGCTTCGCGTGGATGCTCAGCTGCGACAGAAACACCCTGAGGGGCCGGTTCCGGGACGCACGTCGTTCTCCCCCTCGCCACGTCCTCGGCTCCCCGGCCCCCGGCTCCGTGGCGCGCCGGGTGCTGGCCGGTGTCGCTCTCCGCTGTCCCGTGTGGAGACCGCCCTGCTGCGTCCGGCGCCCGAGGCGGAGGAGCGGGCCCAGCGGCATGTCGCCCGCGCCACAGGAGCGCGCGCCCGCGGGTAACACTCGGCCCAGCCCGGGCGCGGGGCTGCCTGACGCGCGCTGTGGGTTCCGGGTCTCGACGCCCCGCAGGATTCCCGCGGGAGACGGCGGCGCCTGTGGGCTTCCGGAGCAGCCAGGGCGCCCACGTGTCTCCCCGTCCTCCCCGCCGGCACCCCGTGTCCATCTCCCCGTAGGCACCCCGCCCTTTCCCGCCGGCACCTCGTCCTCCCCCGCCCGCACCCCGTGTCCATCTCCCCGTAGGCACCCCGTCCTCTCTCACTGGCTCTCCGTCCTCCCCCGCCAGCACCCCGTGTCCACCTCCCCGTAGGCACCCCGTCCTCTCTCACCGGCTCTCCGTCCTCCCCCGTAAGCACCCCGTCCTCCCCCGCCCGCACCCCGCCGTTTCCCGCCGGCACCCCGTGTCCACCTCCCCGTAGGCATCCCGTCCGCCCCGCCCCTGCTTCCCCCGTGACCGTGTGCGGTGCACATCTTTCATTGCATTAGGCGTGGTAATAACTCAGTGGAAAAGGTTTGGGGGACCGTTTTTCTAACGCTGCGCGAGCGGTGCGCACATCTTTGATGAGTACTCCCTATT